AATTGATGGACTGAAAGCAGATGGGAGTTAATGTGAGGGGAATGGAGAAGGTTGGTTAAGGTAAAAGTGTGGAGAGGGGTGGTGAGTATACCTGAGCCTGTATGGTCAATGGGATAGGTGTTACCTCCTGCAGTTGTGATGGAATTGGTGCCATGGTACGGAGTCAAAGTATGCAGCCGAGACAGATCAGGCGTAACATGGGTGTTTGCGCCAGTGTCCAGATGCCAGTTCGAACTAGATTCAGCAGATTGATTTGCATAAAACACCTGCGGAGGACCAGCATATGATTCATCGTAGCGGTGCCAACAATTCCAGACTGCATGGCCAGGCTTCCCACAGAGTTGGCACGTGATGGACCCCCGGCCACCTCCTCTGCCGCGTGCGTTGTCGCGGTACTGCGGCTGCCGGCCGCCTCTACCGCCAGGCTGACTCCCGCGGTAAGGCCCTCCTCGGCCTCGCTGTGGTCCATGGCCACAACCCCGACCATTGCCTCGTCCGGAGTTGGTGTAGAGAGCATTATGAATGTCAACAGACGAAGTAGAGCCGGAGTCACCAAGAGACAATTTTTTCTCAAAAGATAAATTCAATTCTTTAGACAACAACCAAGAGGAGACCTGATTAAAGGTGACGGTGGCAATATTGGTGCGAATATTTTGCTTGAGGGAGGCATAGTCGGCCGGTAGACCTCGTAGAACACAAAAGATAATATCTTGTTCAGAGATTTCTTCATGAGCCAGTTTGAGAGACGACACAATAGTGAGAACCGTGTCCAAATAGGATTGCATCGAATCGGTCCCCTTAGTAACACCATGGAGACGCTCCTTCAACTGAAATATATCAGTTCGTGAAAGAGAGTTGTACCGTTGTTCTAGATGATTCCAAATTGCAAGCGAGGTGGGAAGAGCATGAATATGTGTCTGAACCGTAGGTGAGACAATAGCAAGGAGACAGGTCCGAATTTGAGCGTCAGCAATACGCCAGGAGTCATAGGCCGGATTTGGTTTCATAACCGGCGGTTCATCCTTTCCCGGTGACGCAGCCTTCTCATCAAGAATACGAGACGGAGGAGACGGTTCAAATCCATCCACATAGCCGAGAAGATGATGAGCGAGGAGATTTTATTATTATTTTGTATAATAATAAAATAAAAGATTATTTTTGAAAAACCATATAATTGTTAGACATATATGGAAAGAAGTCTAGTTATAGCAGAATTGTTATTTATGTTAGTTTACTTATTTGGTGAATCCTAGTCCATGTAGGGATCCTCACCTATATAAACATCCATGTACACAATTATTCCTTAAGAGTGAATTCATAAATCAACATGGTATCAGAGCTCCAAGATCCTTTTTTCTCTCTGATGGGCCGATATCCAGAGGACGGACCAAATGAACCATTTAAACAACTTCGGGTCAAGCACCTGCGAAATACTCAAGCTGGGCCGGCCCAAGGAGCTGGGCCTAGTTAACCTCAGGCCAAGCGCAGCTGGCAGAGTCAGTCCGGAGAAGGAGACGGAGTTGATTGACCGTTACGGAGCCGGGAAAAGGGGATCGCGCCCTTGGCGGGCTAGACTCCATCGGTTATGCTTCACCTTAAATGTTTAGAGCTCATGTATAAATAGAGGGGACCCGAAAGGGGAGAACTCAAGCTAAATCAAGCTAGTAATACACATCCAATTCTCGAATTCTTGTTCTTAATTTTGTTCTTACGATCCGCTTTGTAAACCGGATCATTTGGTGGGTTTATTGTCCATCAAATTGGTGCTTTCATTGAGAGTTCGAGAATCTTACTCAGAAGAAATCCTCCACGACGACGATGGTGCAAACACGTAGCAACGCCAACGTAGGTATCGGAGTTCCCCAACAGGGGGAGAACAGCGCCACCGGAGGCCGGCACCCCCCCATCACCACCGGGGAGGCTGAGGCCCTCATTCAGAGGGTTGGGATCACGGCCGAACAATTCAAGGAGGTGCTGGCCGCACTTGCGCCCAACCGCGAGGTTGTGGCAGGAGATGTGGCTGGGGGACCCATAGGCGAGAAGGCTGGACCTGTGGGCTCCCAAGGGAAAAAGAAGAAAGTGAGGCGGTCCCAGAAGAAGAAGGCAACCAAGCCTAATGGGAAGGCTATAATGGCAGATGCGCTTTCCAGGCTGGAAGAAGAGGACGAGTCGTCCTCCTTCGAGCGGATGTCTGCTTTTGACCGTTTGGGAGATCCCAAGTCGAAGAAACCTCGGACCTCTGCGTTCGAAAGGCTGCAGGACACTCGGTTGGCCCGAAAAGGCGACTTGAGAGACGCGCTCAAGGAGAAGAGAGGGGAGTCCACAGCGACCTCCAAGGTCGGGTCTGAGGAGCGACGGATGACAGTCGGGGATAAGGGCGCAGCCGAGCTGTGGAAAATGTACGAACAACTGGAGAAGCGGCTGGATGCCCAGAACCCCTATCGCCAGGCGGTCTTCAGTGAGGTAACGCCCTTCTCCAGAAGGATAATGTCCTGCCCCCTCCCAGATAATTTCAACTCCCCAGATCAAGGCATACAACGGGACGACCGATCCCCAAGACCACCTCGCTCGCTTCGGGGCCAACGTGGTCATGTACGCATATCCAGAAGAAATCAAGTGTCGGTGTTTCCTGGCGACACTGGAAGGGCAGGCTTGTGAGTGGTTTCACAAGTTACCCAAGGGGTCGATAGATAAGTGGGGCGACCTGGCCCACAAGTTCTTGGAGCACTTCGCATCCAGCCGGAGACAAAAGCTCCCCTTCTCGCATTTGCTCAATGTGAAGATCC